AGCCGGGCCGGTGGCCAAGAGTATGCAGCGCCCAGCATGGGGGCGGGTGGCTGCCCCCACTACAAACTGGGAGAGAACCCAGGTGTCTGGGGTGCTGGTGGGGTGGGAGAAGCTGGGGGGGAGATGCAGCTGGCTCTGGGGTGGGTTGTGGATGGGTGTAACGGGAACCTCTTGTCCAGCATTGAGATGCAGCCAACTCTAGGGTGGGTCCTGGCTTCATAGAACAGGGACACGTAGGTTGGCACTGAGATGCATGCAGCTCTGGGGGTGGGTCATGGCTGGGTGCAACAGGGACCCCTTGTCCAGCACTGAGACGCAGCCACTTCTGGGGTGCATCACGACTGGATGTGACAGAGAACCCTAGGAGGAAACTGCAGCCAGCTCTGGGGTGCATCCTGGCTGCATAGAACAGACCCCTAAATTGACAGAGATGCAGCCAGCTCTGGGGTGGGTTATGGCTGAGTGTAACAGGAACCCCCAGGTTAGCACCAAGATGCAGCCAGCTCTGGGGTGGGCCTGGGCATAATGAGATCAGGCCCCGTTAGGTTCCTGGGAGGCTGAGGCCCATACGCCCAACCCCGGCAGGGGGAGAACACAGGTGTCCAGGGCTTCCCAGCTCCTCCCCCTCCCTGCTCCCTTCCCCAAGCAGGAGGGGAGCCAGGAGTCCGGGCACCCAGTCTGCGGCCAAGCCCGTCACTGGTTCCACTGGTTTTATTTCTATTACAATAAATTTCTGTGTATAAAATTATGTCAGGCCCCTCTCCCACCCTGGCCCCACCACATCAGGCTGGGGGAAGGGGCCAATGTGAGGCCCCACCCCCTCCCACCCCTGTGGGAGGTACTCATTGGCTCCCAGCAGGGCCCTGCCCCGCCTTGCTTGGCTCAGCAAATGCAGCTGCTGCCACCCTGGCTTCCTATTGGCTGAGACAACCTGACCCTGACCGAGGGGAATTGAGATGCCCAACCTGGGGGAGCCCAGGCATCCTGGGACACCCTGACCTGGGGGAACCCGGGCATCCGGGTCCTGAGGTGCCCTGACCTAAGGGAACCCAGATGTCCAGGCTCGGAGATGCTTGCCCTGGGGAACCCAGGGACACCGTGCCCTGGGGGGACCCAGGCGTCCCAGCCCCATGGGACCCAGGCTTCTGGGCTTGGAGGGGCCCAGCCTGGGCAAACCCAGGTGCCCAGGCTCAAGCTAGCGGAGCTGAAAGAGGCCCAGGTGGGTGAGGGAGGCGTCGGGCTTGAGACGCACACGGGGCACGGTGCCCAGGCGCAGGGTGGCACCGGAGGGCAGGCGCAGCAGCCCAGCCACACGACACCCGCGCAGCTGTGGCTCAGGGGGGCCTGCGCTGGGGGGGGGCAGCTGGTGCAGGCAGCGCAGTGCTGGCGCCACCCCCAACGCCAGCTCCAGCTTCACGTACACCCAGGCCGCCTCGTCGAAGTGCGCCTGCGGGGGGAGCGGGCATCAGAGGGACCCAAGTGTCCGGGCCCCCAGCAGGGAGGGACCCCGGGAATCCAGGCCCCCGCGCCGGAGGGAACCCCAGCATCCGGCGCACCTGGGCATAGACATAGTAGAGGCCACCATGGGTGACTGTGAAGATGCCGCGTGCCTCGTCGTAGCGCAGGGGGCTACTCGCGTTCAGCCACGTCTCAGCCCAGCCCCGGATGGTCCCATCTGGCCCCGCTATGGGGGAGGGGGGGCACCATGGGGTGAGGGGGGGCACAGGAACTGCCCCCCCTTCCCACCCCAGGGGCTGCCCAAGCTGGAAGAGAACCCAGGTGTCTGGGCTCCCCTGGCTGCCCACCCCATCCCAGTTACCTGTGTAGATCCCAGTCTGCCCATCAGCTGGTTGCACTGGAACAGAGAAACAAAGGGGGTCAGACAGAGCTTGGGGGGTCAGGGGGGCTGGGAGCCCAGAGGCCTAGGTTCCTCCATCAAGAAGTGCCCCCCTCACCTTTGTAGTGTGCTGCATACAGGGGCGTTGGCGTGGACTTGCGGGGACGCGGCCTCTTGCCCTTGGTCGCTGTGGGGAGCGGGGAGACGTGAGCAGGGACTCCCCCGGCCTGGAGAGAACCCAGGGGTTCAGGCTCCCAGTGCCCCCACCCCGAGCCGGGGGCGCTAGACTCACCAGTCCGGCGGTGCCGCCTGGTTCCGGCCTGGTCCATGGGAGGGGGACGAGGTTCACGGGGGCGGCGGGGCAGGGGGGAAGCCTGGTTGGGGGGAAGAGCGGCAGGGGTGGGGGT